TTTTTAAAAATGACTTCAGCGATGCTCAGCATGCTTTAAGGCTTAGCATATAGCATGAAAGCACTCCCGTGCCGGGCTGGTGTGACCCAGTGGCTGAGTGTCATCCCAGCACCAAGAGGTTCCGGGTTCAATTCCTGGTCAGGGCACATGCTACGACCTGCAGGGGGAGCCAATGAGTGCTTCTCTCCCTCTCCCTCTCCTTTCTTCTCTCAAAAATCAATAAAAACATTTCTAAAAAGTTTATTTAAAAAAAAATAACACACTTGCCTGACCAGTGTGGCTCAGTGGTTGAGCATCAACCTATGAACCAGGAGGTCACGGTTCAATTCCTGGTCAGGGCAAATGCCCAGGTTGTGGGCTTGATCCCCAGTGTGGGGCCTGCAGGAGGCAGCCAATCAATGATTCTCTCTTATCATTGATGTTTCTCTCTCTCTCTCCCTCTTCTTCCTTTCTGAAATCTATATATATATATATATTTTTTTTTTTTTTTAAAATAAATAGTACACTTTTATTTTCAATAAGCTTACTTCAAAGTGTTAACATACCTGTGGGTATTTACCAGCTTCTAAAATACCACACGGCTTATTAATTAACCAGCTCTATCTATCAGGCCTGTGTAGGTAACGCACCTGTAAACTGTTTGTATTTTGAGCCCATTGCTCTTTTTGCTCCCGAAGAGGCCGGCTGACCTAACAGACACTGGAGTTTCTCCTGGAAAATCCGTGCTGGAGTCATGTTGAACGGCAGATTCTGGCGCTTTTTCTTGAGCCTGAAATCACATCGAATTAGGAGAAATGACTCCAAATTTTCAAAAAAGCAAATATTCACACATCGGGAACTACACATCGGGAAGTTTGAGAAACGGTGAAACTTCCTTTCGTTATTCATCCTACATTTAAGAAAGAACTACGATCAGGAAACGCTGCGTTAAGGAGAGGACCAAGGCTCTCCACGCTGATGGCGCTAACACATCTCACCCAACTGCCCTCCGCTGCCTGCAGACGTGCTCTATCCAGGCTGGACCAGACCTGCCTTGGCCAAATGCCTCTGCTCGTGTTTGGAAAGTTCTCTCTCCCTGTAGCTACTCAATTGTCAAGATCCCGTCTTCCCTTCCATGCCCATCTCCAATGGCATCTCCCACATAGGCATTTCCGTCCCCCCGCCCCGGGGTCACTGCTCTCCCTGAGACCTGCCGCCTGTTCTCACCGAAGCATGTAAACTAGAGTGAGGTGCCGTTTCCTACCAAACTATAAAGCCTTAAGTGTAGAAACTAGGCACCATTTAGGTTATATCCACGAACACACCTGGTATAGAGTATGTACAGAGAGGTTCCTTAATAAGAAAATACATGCTTAGTTACTGACTTGAAAAAGACACAGTAGTACCATAACATACAGAGAAGTTAAAATACAGAGATTGGTTTGACTAGCTTAAACTCAAATCCGGGACAGACTCTCTCATCGACTATAAGCTCTTTGAGGGCACTGCTAACAAATTAATACTCCACGTAGGCATTTTAATACAAATAAGCCAGCCACTGAGCTGCCCAGCACAGCACCCCCTAGCTGCGTGCAGCGATTTAAATTTAAATGAGGCTGGAAATTCGGTTCCTCGGTCTTACTGGCCACAGCGCACGTGCTCAGTGGCTGGACACACAGACATCCCCTCACGGAGGCGGGTCCTCCGGGACAAGGCCGAGCGGAGACGCCCGCCGAGGGGGTCAGAGGGATGAGAGGCACCTTAGCGACACTCTTCCTCCCTCTCCCGTGCGCACCTGGTGGGGCGGC